CGACCAAGAGAAATTGTTTACGGTAGAGAATCAGATCCATATGCTGTACGGTCGCTGCTCGGATGGTACATAAACGGTCCTCTCTATACTCCCTGTCAGAGTAGCATCTTAACGTGCAACAGAATTCATCTTAATCAGCAAGACACCTTATCCCCGCGAGGATATGTAGTCTCTCAAAGGACGGTTAAGGAACAGATAACACCGCAGGCAGTTGAACGAATGTTTGAACTTGACTTCTCCGAAAAGGAAAAGGGAATATCATTGTCGCGCGAAGACATCAAGTTCTACGAGACCGTGGAAACTGGTATCGTTCATCTCGAGGACTTGCACTATGAAATGCCCCTCCTTTCAAACATAAGAACACTCAGCTCCCAAACAACTATGCTCAAGCTGAGAAGCGCCTGAACAGCCTCAAGAAACGTCTAATGTCTGATGACAAGTATTACACGGATTACTGCAGCTTTATGTCTGATATCATTTCGAAAGGGTACGCTCGGAAGGTGGATGACGATCTTAAAGATCAGTTGGGCAGAACCTGGTACCTGCCGCATCACGGAATTTATCACCCGCAAAAGCCAACGAAAATACGCGTGGTGTTTGATTGCTCGGCCTCATTCGAAGGACACTCCTTGAATGACAAATTGCTCCAGGGACCGGATCTCAGCAGTAACCTAGTCGCTGTTCTTACCAGGTTCCGGCAAGAAAAGTATGCTTTTATGGCAGACATTGAAAAAATGTTCTTTCAAGTAAGAGTAAGGAAGGAAGATCAAAGTTTTCTCAGGTTCCTATGGTGGCCAGACGGCGATTTACAGAAGGAGGCCGAAGAGTATTGCATGACAGTGCATTTGTTCGGTGCAGTATCATCCCCTGCATGCGCTAATTACGCACTTAAACGCACTGCTGACGACAACGAAGATGAATACGGGTCAGAAGCAGCCAACACCCTTAGAAGGAACTTTTATGTGGACGACGTTCTCAAATCGGCAAGCACAGAAGATGAGACTATTAAGCTAGCAAAGGACACCAAAGCAGTTTGCCAAAATGGTGGATTTAACTTAACCAAGTTTGTGGGGAACACAGAGCGTATCATCAGCTCAATCCCTCAAGAACACAGAGCAGAACAGGTGAAGAACCTCACACTTGGCCAGGACAAGTTACCCATAGAAAGAGCGTTAGGAGTTATTTGGTGTATTGAGTCAGACACGTTCAACTTTAGGATTGAACTTAAGGATAAACCTTGCACGCGAAGAGGCATCCTATCGACCATCAGCTCGATTTATGATCCCTTGGGTTTCATCGCTCCTGTAGTACTGGTCGGAAAGAAAATTTTGCAGGACATCTGTCACACTAATAGCTGGGATGAGCCAGTCGACGATGCCACCCGCAGCAGATGGGAAAGATGGCGAACTGAGCTGTACCTACTTGAAAGTTTGAAAGTACCAAGAAGCTTTAAGCCCTCGGAGTTTGGAAAGATTGTGTCCACGCAACTCCACTGTATGTCTGACGCTTCGACGTGTGGTTACGGTCAATGCTCGTATTTAAGGCTCGAAGACGAACACGGCAAAGTACATGTCTCTTTTGTTATGGGAAAGGCGCGAGTGACATAAAAAAAAGACCGTCAGCATTCCAAGGTTAGAGTTAGCAGCAGCCTCAGTCTCTGTCAAGATTGGTGATGTTCTAAAGGATGAGCTAGAGTATGAGAACATTGAGGATCACTATTGGACGGATAGTAAAGTCGTCCTAGGCTTTATAAGTAACGAATCCAGTCGGTTTCATGTCTACGTTGCCAACCGGGTCCAACTCATTCATGATCACACCACCCCCTCACAGTGGTATTACGTCGAAACCACTTCAAATACTGCAGACGAAGGTTCAAGGGGTATGTCACCTAAAGACTTTGTTGAGAAATCACAATGGATTCAAGGCCCTGACTTCCTTAGAAAACCTACTAGCAGTTGGCTGAAAGGAAAGTCATACAAAGACACTGTGGACCCAGATTCCCCCGAAGTGAAGAGCACTAAGGTTAACACATGTGTAGTGAAAGAGAGCGACGTCATAGTTGAGAGACTTCTCAGGTTCTCAAGCTGGCACAAAGCGAAGGTAGCTGTCGCACTATGCCTAAAGTACAAGAGGAAGCTCAGAGTAAAGGTCATGTCTAAAGGGAAGGAGTCCAGTGCTGGATCACCAGAACAAAGGTGTGTCAGTAACACCCCTGCAAGTGCAGAACTTAACGTCGCCAACTTACAGGAAGCAGAAGTGGAGATCATAAAACAAGTACAAAGACAAGCATTTCCGTCGGAAATAAGAAGTCTCCAAATCGTTCAAGCGAACGCTAAGTACGGTAGCCGGGAAGTGGAAAAGGAAAAGAAGGCTGTGCTGAAGAAAACCAGTACGCTTCGCACGTTAGACCCCTTCCTAGACAGTGATGGTGTCATGAGAGTTGGCGGGCGAATACGGAAGGCGACACTATCGGAGTCACTCAAAAACCCTGTCATCTTACCAAAGTCAAGCCACATTACTGCACTGGTTATCAGCTGCGCGCACGAAAGAACACACCATAGCGGAAGAGGAATTACGTTGAATGAGCTTCGTGCTAGTGGCTATTGGATCGTCGGTGGAAATTCGATGGTCAGGCAGTTTATTTCCAAATGCGTAACATGTCGTTACCTTCGAGGTACCGTGGGAGAGCAGAAGATGGCTGACTTGCCGAAGTCGCGCGTGGAGCCAGCACCGCCTTTCACCTACTGCGGAGTCGATTTCTTTGGCCCTTGGCACGTACAACGAGGAAGGTCTGTCGTCAAGAGATACGGAGCATTGTTTACTTGTTTTGCAAGTAGGGCTGTACACATAGAAGTTGCAGACTCCTTAGAAACTGATTCCTTTATTCAAGCATTGAGACGGTTCATCTGTAGAAGAGGACCAGTCAGAGAAATTCGTTGTGACAGAGGAACGAATTTTATTGGTGCGGAAGCCGAACTCAAGAAAGCTATTGACGAGATGGACGACCAAAAGGTCAAAGCAGAACTCCTTAAAGCCAAGATCGATTGGATTAAGAACCCTGCATCCGCGAGTAACTTTGGAGGCGTGTGGGAAAGGCAAATCAGGTCAATCAGAAACGTCATGAGTGGTCTTATTAGAGAGCATGGTAATCGCCTTGACGAAGAATCGCTGAGAACATTCCTTTGCGAAGCAGAATCTACAATTAATAACAGGCCTCTGACGGTAGAGACACTCAGCGATCCTCTTTCAGAGCCACCATTGTCGCCAAGTATGCTGCTGACAGGAAAGACAAGGCTCGTGCTACCTCCACCAGGAGAATTTAAGAGAGAAGACTTATACTGTCGAAGGAAATGGAGACGCACGCAGCACCTAGCACAAGAGTTTTGGTCAAGGTGGAGCAAAGAGTACTTACAACAGTTACAAGCAAGAATCAAGTGGACTCGGCCAAAAAGAAATTTCAAGGTTGGAGATGTGGTATTACTGAAGGAAAACCAGTCTCCGAGAAATAGGTGGCCTTTGGGTAAGGTCGTATCCACGCATCCTGATGATCAAGATCGAGTCCGATCGGCGACAGTGCTGACAGGCAATGGCTCCAAGTTGGAAAGGCCTGTTAACAAGCTCGTCTTACTTTTGGAGGCGTAATGTTTAGAGACCGGGATTCCCCGACGAGGAGCCCGAGCTTTTATGAACGCTTTTTTCTAGGAAATAAGTTTTAGGACTGTTATCGAGATAGTTACAGTTGTTGTTAAAATGTAAGGCAAGGCTTACATTTTGGGGAGCCATGTAACCGCTGGTATCCTGACCAGCGGGCTTACCCTCTTGTTTATTAGGAGCATGCGCACGGGGCCTCGGCATTGGCGGACACGAGGCCACCGTGAAATAACCTGAAGTTTCACTAAGGTTTTCTTCCAGTTTCCCAAGTGTTTGTAAGTCGTTTGTTTCAGTTTTTCTTTGTCGTGCTACGGATTTCTAAAGCTTTCTAACGGATGTTTGTGATGATACTTGTGAGTTGATTCAGCCTCGTGTATGATTAAACGTTTTGTTGTTATGTTCATCGCCACGGCTATCATGTGCCGCCATTCACAGCCACAGACATTAATGAAGTCAATCTACGATTATAAAGTGACAGTAACTTAGCTTCATGAAATAACTGTGCGCAAATCATTGTTGTGTCACACTACATGGGTCTAAGAGCTCAGTCTCTTGAAAGTCTTTTCTGTTTTTTAGCTTTACTGGAGCGACAAGAGTGCCAAACTAAGCGCCAATAGGAAAGGCTTAGTAAAATAGCCGTGACGTATACAAGTGTTAATTTTGGTAAATCGCTACTTGCTGTTTGTCATAACTTAGAGAATTAGACTTAGACTTGGAGAATTTATGTTTACATTCGTCATGAATATAGGATGGTGTCTGCATATGCGGATCAACTTGCCAAAAGTTCAATCTATCGATTCAATTGGTTTTGACTGGTGTCATTTTACGATTTGCATTTTTATTGTGAAAATTAGAGTTTGAGTGGCTGCTGTCAAATGGTATAATGGAGACCACTTTACTTTAATTCTGTTTTTCTGGTAAAATAACCATTGACCGACGTTCTCTCTTCTCTTATACCTGCTCATTAGTGATGTTAAGAAGTTGGACATTATGATAGTTCTGAAGAAAGGCTTATTACTAACCAGTGACCTGATTTCCATAATTAACCAAAATGTTACTTATTCCTAGGTGGCTTTCATGGATGATACTAATTTCTGTTAACATTCCTACTTGGTGTTCATTGCTGCAATGCAGATGTCCATGATCAAATGTATTCAAATAATAAGAAATTATACTGAACAAACAGGAAGGAAAAAATGCTTTAAGTGCTAGCGCTAAGACTGCTTCAGGGGGCATGTACCAATGAGTAACCGCATAAGCCAAGACCGAGTCGAAAAAAATATTTCTCGTCCGGATCTCTATAAAAAGAGAGCGGCGGCCATTTTTTTTAATCGCTAAATGAATGCACAGTAAGAATTAGTCTTCCTTTTAAAGATCAAGTGGCCGCTAATGCGGTTCGTAAGCAGTTACGCGATCTTAGCCATAAGATTGGCCCTACTTTGCAACCAGTTTTCGTGAGCAAGAAATTGGGGCAAGACCTTAGACCCAAAGAAATCAAGCCGTCAATTGTTAATAAGCAGTGTGTTGTTTACCAATTTTCATGTGATCTGTGCGATGCAGATTATGTCGGGTACACAGCCCGACACCTTCATCAACGCATTGCTGAGCACAAAAATTCGGCAATCGGTAGACATTTCTTAGAAGCTCACGGTAACAACAACCTTTTGAGAGAAAGCCAATTCACGGTTTTAAGAAAGTGCCAGAGCAAATTTGATTGTTTAGTATTTGAAATGCTCTTCATTAAGCCCAATCTAAATATTCAGACGGACTCCATACGTGCGAAACTCTTTGTTTAATATTTTCTCACGTTACAATTTTTTTAATCAGCTATTGTTGTTTTGTTTTTTTTTAGTATTTATAGACCAAAAATCACTAACTTATTTTGACTTGATAATGACGTTCAGCTAACGTCGAAACGTCGTCGCTTTTTAGCAATTTTTTAATCTTAAAATGATTTTAAGAAATGTTTTATCGCAATTTTTTATAGTTAAATGCTAAATGAATGCTTTCTTTTAAAAAATATTACCTTATCCCAGGATGAGTTGGAGTTTTTCGGTCAAATATTAATACATGAAACGTAGGTATTGATTTTAAAAACACAAGTTTGGTTTATTTGACACGTCATACGATATATCCTCAATGGGTAAGGTACATAAAAAAGATCAAGATAGCACTCAGTATTTCATAAATGCTTCGTTTTTTTTTTCTTTTCTGTTTCGATGAGGGTAAATGGAGGAATGAGTTTGCGGAATGGCATGTGGCATGGCTTGCGGAATGGAATAATTATGCCGACTCTAATATATCAGAATGACTTAAAGAAATAAATTAAACTGAAAATTGCGCCCTTTTTGGCGCAAATTAATTCACAAGCGGCCCCTTTTTTAATGTTGCGAGCTCGACTACGATAACAATCAAAACGCCAGGAACGACTCCTTGATTTTTCACGGTCGAATTAGCTTTTTGCAGAGCCTCAAAGATTCTACTTGCCTTTATTAGTCGGGCTGCTGGCAGCACCGATGCTACATCACGAAAGTCGGCCATTGAAGAAAAGATGTTTTGGAAGGTCACGCTCTCTTCTGCCTTAAAGTTTTTTCTGCAAAAGATATTTGCACGATTAACGTCACTTTTGTTTACCCTTATTTCCATTTGAAACCAAGCGAGCAGTGTTTCTTTTAAGACGGTGGGTCGCGTGATTGATCGTGGCATAATATTGAGAGATCGAACATATCTTGCATTTTTATTCCTTGGCTGCGTGGTAAAGTTTCAGGCACGCGAAGCTAACAGCTGGGGAAGAAGCGCGAGCTTGAATTCTGGCAATCGAGTTCGTGTGCTTTTTTTTTTTTCTGTCTTTTCTTTTTCTTTACCTTCCTACTTTTAGAATTTTTTTCTCCTTTACCTTTACCTTCATTAATTAAGTTAGTAAAGCCGATTCGGCATCACTCCAGCTGTTAAAAAAAATACATCTTAATGATTGGCTAGTTCTCGATCAAATGCACACACTTACACAAACAATACAAGTCAAACAAAGGTGCGAATAGACGCGGAAAGGCCGAAAGAAGACTGCAGAGAGCAGTTCGCCGCTTCACTCGATTTGTGGATTACGGATTAATGTTTGACTCGAGGCGTTCAATTAGTCTGGAATATGATCTGATTCGTTCACCGTATTATAAATCCCTAGAATTGTAGCTAGCCCGGCTTCACGTTCAGCGAGCGTTTTTTACCCTCTAGCGTTACGATAAAGAGTGACCCTATTTGGTGTATCAGCTGTGTTTCGATTTGACCCTTGCTTTAAAAGCAGTAATAAATGGACCGGCAAAGCGATTGCTCCCTCAAATTGGCGCCAAAAAAGGCGCGGCAAACGCACGCATGCTTTCCTGTTAAATTCCGCATAATTATGTCATTCCGCAAGCCATGCCACATGCCATTCCTCCCTTTACCCTCACCGTTTCTGTTTGACACTGAAATTATCTGTATCATTCCACTCTGATAAGGAAAAACCCGCAGTGTTAAAATTATACGAAAAAATTCATACGTACGTGGATCATACCTTCCTAAAAAAAAGAAGGGTTAATCCTTTCTCGTTAATTCAATTCTGATGATTTTTCTGGCTGTTGCTCAAAGCTGCCATAATGATTCCACGGTGTTTTCTTTGTATTGATGGGTTCTCGTTAGATTCGTTAGATCACGTCTTGTAATTAAACAGCGCATGCGCAGGGCATGCATGTTAAATTCAATTGAATACAGGTCTATGTTTATAAAATAAGACAAGATCAATCAAAGGATTGTTCCTTGAGAAGGATTTTGGAGTTAGCTTTATCATTTTTTCTGTCACTGAATGTCGTGTGCATGCCTTGTATTTCGTCACGCGATTCCGGTCTAAGTGAACAGAATGATGCTACAAAGTGATTTCTTGACCCAAAAAAGAATTTTCTGTCTTCTTCTTCTTAATTGTAATTATTACATTAACGAAATATTTTCTTGGATAATGAAGGATATTAAAAGGAAGGTTTTATTCGGGAAATTGCGCATGTTAATAACATTCCGCAATGCAAGGAGCTGCACATTTTAGGTGTAAAAACGTTTCAGGAGAATTGTAAATATAGCGAACATGTACGTGCTAAGTTGATTAAGGCTAATAAGTGTCTGTTTGGATTAAGATCTTTACGGATGGAAGGTTTCAGTCAAGGTGAAGTAGACCGCCTATTTAGCGCCTTAGTTTTACCGAATTTCGCTGATGGTCTGACTGTTTTTGGCGCTGTAGACTCAGATCTCACGGTCATACAAAACTTTCTGGATACCGTGTAGCATGAAAATTTTGCGGGTTCTAATTTTTGCGAATTTTGCGGATTGACCTCGATCCGCAAAAATTAGTTCCCGGAGAAAAAAAACCCCGCAAAATAAAACGCCGCAAAAATTAACTCCCTTCAGTCAAATTAAAAACTCTGCTTTTAATGGACTTGTTGTGTATGGTAGGGATAGGCTTTTGCAGGTTGTTTTGTTTTGCTGTTGTTCAGTCCCTTTGTGCAGTAAGATATTACAGTGATGGCGTATTATTCTCCATTAAATATGTAAGTAGAGTGAACTTTGACTCAACACACTGTAAAATAAAAGTTGAAAATACCATATTAAGGTTTCTTCCACTTAAATATTCTGCTACTTGAACAGAGAATCGCAAAAATTAGTTCCCACCAGAAATTTCATTCATCTGGAACCGCAAAAATTTGTTCCCGCAAGCCACAAAAAATCGCCAATCCGCAAAATAAAACTCCCGCAAAATTTTCATGCTACACGGTAGATGCCCCGGGGTAGATTCTTTAAAAGGAAATACAAATGTAAGAGAATGGACATTCGAGAACTTTTAGAAAAGGCAGATAAGAAGCTTTCCAAGGTGCGTTCAGTGGATACCGGCTGAACGCTTAGTAACATTATTCCGAAGAAGAAAGAAACAAAGTATCATCAAAACTGCTCATCGCCCGGAGATCGAGACTGAGAGATTTAAGAATGTATTTTATTGTTAATAGCCTTTTTTTGGATATAATCTTAAATCTTTCTATTATTTGTATACTGTTATGTTATACGTATTTTTAGACTTCCAACTGAAAATATAACTTATGTCTTTTTATGTTACTATGAGGAATAAAGATTTATTAATTGATTGATTGATTGATTGATTGATTGATTGATTGATTGATTGATTGATTACAACCACACCTCAGTTAGTTAAGTTGAAAATTTCGGATTAATCGTTGTAGCATAGCAGGAGATGTGCGCTCAGTAGGACTCGAGACAGAAAGCTGACTATTGTTTCGACAGTTGTAATGTAATCCGTTAAGTTTTTGTTACAAAAAGGTTGGTTAACCTGAGAAGTAGTCTCCTTCGCAGCGGTTTTTTGGATGTCACGCAACGCTCCCCTAAAAGAACAGAGCGTTGCGTGACAACTTAAAGACGGTTGCGAGGGAGACTACCTGAGAAGCCGGTTGTCAAGTTTGTTTTTCGTGCCCTTTGCTTTTGTTGGATACAACAAATCCATACATTTTTTTTTTTTTACATACATTTTTTGTTATTGTGTTTTGAATTAAGAGTACAATAACATGCCCGCGGGTAGCTAAGCTAATCTAGGCGGGCCATGTTTACAGAAAATAAACTAAATACAGCTAAAAGTAACAAGAGAACTAAAGAAACTAAAATTGACTACAATGACTAGAGACTACTGATAAACTAATGGTATTACTAATAATGAATGACAACAGTTATGACAAGAGACTACTGATAAACTAAACGATATTAATGATTACATATCAACTAAGATCAACTATTTATGGCTTCAGTAACGGCGTTTTAACATTTCGAGGTCCATTTTTCACGGCTCCTGTGTCTTGAAACCGATTCGAATGCATTATTAAAGTCTACACAAAGAATACTGCCGATCTGAACCGCCATGCTTTTAATAATCAATCCCAGGAACCTTTGTACAATCAAATTATCGTGTAAGTTATACTGAAAGTAAACTGCATCCCTTCCTTTTTGGGAACACTATATACCGGGGAAAACATAACACGAACGTGGATGTGCGGACTGACACCTCTTTATTACGCAGAGTCAGCTTTGTAACAATTTTGACAGTTATTTATATCCGAGAAATACCAAACTGATACAGCCCCATACAATCTTTAGCTCCTTGTGATCCTTGCGAATATAAAGACTATAAAGACGGTCGGGGTTTGTCCCTTTGGTTATAAAGAACTTTTAAAAACCTTTTTTGTTTGTTTTGGCACGAACGAAGGATTATCTTTCATTATCGGAATTGAATCCTTTGCCCGACCGAGACTCATCAATAGTCCAAAGGTAGAGGTGTATGATGAGCACATGATCCAGACCACCAGGCGGAGTAGGAAGTAGCCTGTTCCAGGCCAAGTAGGAAGGCGAAAGGCCCAAAGGAACAAGATGTTTACCTCCAAAGCAGTCGTTCTTTTCATGACTTTCCTGTTTGCAGTGATCACATCTGTTTCAGGTAATCTTTCGTTTATGCATTCTTTACATGGGAGCCGAGTGAAAGTTGTTCTATGTAGTTCAATGCGCCAGAGTTATTTGATGCCTTGCTAGACACATTCCATGTATGCAATTTGCTTTTCGGCTAGGTAAAAAATATCTTGAGAAGATTTGCATTTTTTTTTCTATCAACACCAGAGTCTATTTCGTTGTCGATTTCTTAATTTCTCTCGACCTATAAACGACATAAGCTCAAGTTTAATAGCTAGAGTTTTGGCTTTTTGAGTTCATTTCTCCAGTTGTTACACTGTCAAAACGCAGACTTTGTTATGATCTTGCTCAGTGTTGAGTTTTCATCATTTAACCTTTTATGTTTTAACCGCTTTCTTAAAACATTTGGTGAATGTTAAGGGAAAGCCTACCTTAATTTTGTCTACTCAGTAGATCGCCGTGTTTTACGAATTGCAGAGCATAGTTTCTTGAGAACATCTACCTATAGGCTATTTAGAGTTTTCTATTTATAGATGATGATAGGCTTCCAGTCTGAGACGGCTGTGTTTAGGATGCTTGTACTGTGTAAGATTCAAAAACTAGAGGTTACAAATTGTAAATGAAGTGCTGCAAGCAGATACTTGGGATATTACTACGTCATGTTGCAATCATCCGTCATAGAAACAACAAGAAAGAATTCAATTCTTATGTCAGGGCTGTAATTTCGATCATTATAATGTCTCAATAAGCAGGTTACACTTTTGCCTAAAATAGAGACGCATTGGGGGAGGAACGTTAAGTAACGACCCTAAAAACGGCTGGGAAGGCCAGACTACCAATAAACTCAAGATTACTAACAAACATATGGCTTGACAAGAACGTGACTAAAGATTCTTTCATTTCCCGTAAATTCCGGAAATTATTAACTGGGCTGGGCAGGAGGTTGGGCCCGGCCAAGTTAATAAAATGGGCAGATTTTGTTTCCGGAAGGGGGTGGGGGAAGGTAATTCTGGGAATTCGTGGTGGGGTGTGCCGTGTCTGGTTCTCCGATTTCTGACCCTTTTTGAGACCAATACTTCCAATGCTAATGTAAGGGAGTACCTCCCGGGTATTTTGGTTGTCGAAAAATGAATTCTAATCCGGGTATTTAACCAGGAGGGCGATTGTAATCTATAAAGCATGTCCGTCTTTGAAGAGGGTCGTACAGGGGTATTTTCGTGATACGTGATTACCTGTTTTTATTTTTCGTGAATTGTGAATTTAAGTGAATTATTCTTTGTGTTAAAAAATTAATGGTTGTCCGTGCACCGAGAAAAACTGGAATTAATAATCGATATCCGTGATATTATTTCTTATTTTTCCCTGATTTTCAGTTTCAAGACTTCCGGAAGATAAATAAAGAAAATGAAAGCATCAAATGAGAATGATGAATTTTTGTAAGTTGCTATTTGCAGTCTTGCTTTTTTTTTCGCCACTTTCAAACTGTTTTTAGTCTTTTTAAGGCTCTTTTTAACACTTTTTTCTTTGCGAAAGAACATGATAAAAAACGACACTTTACAAGCTGAATATGTGACTCGAAAACTGAAATGAAAGTTTGCTATCCGTAATTCGTGATTTGTAACTATGTATTTTGGTCCGTGAACCGTGCCAGAAACCCCCCCTGTACGACTCTCTTTGAAGTATCGGTTTAAAGGATGATTTCTTTCCGTTTAATGGAATGATGCTTGTGGGGGGGTTAATTAAATTTCAGATAAGGATAAAGAAGACTCGTCTGAGGAAAACAAGAACTTTGAGAAGTTCATTTCTAGCTTTATTGGCACGAGGGGAGATAAGCGGTAACGTTTCGAGAACCCAGAGATGTCACCGGGGACTTATGAAAATTGGAAAAGTGTAGATAACACAGGTCAATAACCTAAGTAACACCATAGGACGGGACCTCCTCACACAATAAAAGAAAATACTGTTTTAAGTTGAAAATTACGGATTAATCGTTGCAGCTTAGCAGGAGATGTATGCTAAATATGTAATTTGAAGCCTCGAGACAGTCAAGCAGACTATTGTTTCGACAGTTGTAATGTAACGGCGTTAAGTTTTTGTTACAAAAAGGTCACTGTGTGGTTAACGTGAGAAGCCGGTTGTCAAGTTTGCTTTTCGTGCCCTTTGCTTTTGTTGGATACAACAAATTGTCTATTAATGGCTGCAGTAACGTCGTTTTAACATTTCGAGGTCCATTTTTCACGGCTCTTGTGTCTTAATCGCGTGTTGAAACCGATTCCAATGCATTATTGCAGAGTCTGCTTTGTAACAATTTTGACACATATATGTCCCAGAAATACCAAACTGATACAACCCGATATAACAATCTTTTAATAGCTCCTTGCATGTTTTTCCGTCTTTGAAGAGGGTCATACGGGGGTATTTTCGTGATACGTGATTACCTGTTTTTATTTTTCATAAATCGTGAATTCAAGTGAATTATTCTTTGTGTTCCATGACCAAATGGTTGTCCGTGCCCCGAGAAAAACTCGAATTAATAATCGATATCCGTGATATTATTTCTTATTTTTTCTTGATGATTTTCAGTTTCAAGACTTCCGGAAGATAAATAAAGAAAGTGAAAGCATCAAATGTAGTCTGCTACCCAGCCGTTTTAGAGTCGTCACCTTAATCGCGTGTTGAAAACGATTCCAATGCATTATTAAGTCTACACAAAGAATATTGCCATGCTTTTAATAATCAATCCCAGGAACCTTTGTACAATCAGATTATCGTGTAAGCATACTGAAAGTAAACTACATCCCTTCCTTTTTGGGAACACTATATACCGGGAAAAACATAACACGAACGTGGATGTGCGGACTGACACCCCTTCATTACGCAGAGTCAGCTTTGTAACAATTTTGACAGTTATTTATGACGCAGAAATACCAAACTGATACAGCCCCATACAATCTTTAGCTTCCTGCGAATATAAAGACGGTCGGGGTTTGTCCCTTTGGTTATAAAAGAACTTTTAAAAATCTTTTTTGTTTGTTTTGGCACGAACGAAGGATTATCTTTCATTATCGGAATTGAATCCTTTGCCCGACCGAGACTCATCAATAGTCCAAAGGTAGAGGTGTATGATGAGCACATGATCCAGACCACGGGCGGAATAGGAAGTAGCCTGTTCCAGGCCAAGTAGGAAGGCGGAAGGCCCAAAGGAACAAGATGTTTACCTCCAAAGCAGTCGTTCTTTTCATGACTTTCCTGTTTGCAGTGATCTCATCTGTTTCAGGTAATCTTTCGTTTATGCATTCTTTACATGGGAGCCGAGTGAAAGTTGTTCTATGTAGTTCAATGCGCCAGAGTTATTTGATGCCTTGCTAGACACATTCCATGTATGCAATTTGCTTTTCGGCTAGGTAAAAAATATCTTGAGAAGATTTGCATTTTTTTTTCTATCAACTCCAGCGTCTATTTCGTTGTCGATTTCTTAATTTCATTCGACCTATAAACGACATAAGCTCA